CCCTCTAACCATTTTGGCTGCCCTCTGCTGAACTCTCTCCAACTTGTCCACATCCTTTCTATAGTGGGGGGCCCCAAAATTGATTACAGTACTCCAGATGTGGCCTCACCATGCAGAATAGAGTGGAATAATTAATTCCCTCAATCTGCTGGCAACGCTTCAAATAATGCAGCCCACTATACTGTTAGCCTTCTTGGCTAGGGACAGACATTACACATAAACCGGTTTAAATGATCAGAAACTGGTTTAAACCTGTAACAGAACAGATGTTCAGTGCACATAAACCAGTTTGAAAATGGCTGAAAACAGTTTGAGATAAATGTGGTTGAATGTAGTATCAGATTTAACTGACTTGGGTCACACCAGTTTATGCAATGTCTGTCCCAGACCCCTGTGATGGCTTGGCCCAGGGGTTTTGAAAGTTAAAAAATGATTGGTGGGGGGCATTTCCTTTTCCCCACCCATCAGGCGCTGGAAAAGGAGAAAGCTTGCCCTCCCTCGCCCAGGGGCCAGGAAGAGAAACTGGACCTGAGAGTAGACTCACCTCTCATATTGCCTGATTTGTCCTGCCAGCCACCTGGGGGGGGTAAAAGGGGCAGCACACCTGGCCCCGGGAGAGAATAGGACAATGTGGGATGAAGGAAGGGAGTCCCAAAGAGCTGGTGAGAGCTAGCCAGAGGGACAGAGTGGCGTGCAGGCAGTGGCTCAGGCATCCGACCCCTGGCAGGGAGGCCAGGAGCTCAGTGCGCAGGGGTGTCAGCACCTCAAATTTTGTGAACCTGCGCCTCCAATTTTGTGAAATCCTGCACCTGAAGCTTTGTTGTTGATTTGTCTCTGCTAGATGTGTACATAAACTTTACTGAATCCCCTTTTGCTCTCCTGCACCCACTGCCCTCCCCACATGTATGTCATATCCTAACCCAGCTCTTTTCCTATTAAAACCATATATGGTTAAATTCCAACTGGTCTCAGCTCTACTCTATAGGGTATAGAAAGGGAGTGGCTACCCTTCCCATAGTGCACTAGCACTCAATAAATCCCTTCAGTTGGAGAGGGAGTACCTTGTCTGAGTACCACCTGGGTTACACCCCTTCCTGGTTTAACTTAAACCAGAGTCCCCCAGCACCCTGGCGTGTTCTCTCTGTTCCAGCCCAGCAGGGCTGGTCCCTCCCCTCTGCTCCCCAGCTGGAGCAGGGACAGGCAGGAACAGGCAGGGGTGGGGGTCTGCCCAGAGAGGGCTTTAATTCCCCCCTCCCTGTCTTACTGATAGGGACCCGAGCCAGGTCTAAGTTAAATCAGATTCCCCCAGCATCCTGGCATGCTGTCTGGGCTGGGTGGGGCTCTGCTCCACGGCAGGACTGGCCCCTCCCCTCTGCTCCCTGGCTAGAGCTCCAGCAGTGACTTGCAGGCACAGCAGGGTCTGCTGTCTTCCCCATGCCCCCTTCCCACACCCCTCACACTCACTGCTTAAGCAGGGATTCCTTCCTCCTCTCTCCCCCAGCATGGACCATAGCCAGCCTGTGTTATGCTAGCTAATGCTGAAATGTGTCTGTGTAAGGCAGATAGGACAGTGTCCACTTAGGGCTTTTTTTAGCTAATCAGCAGGTCAGCTGGCAATGTTCCTACATGCCTTCATTTGGAAAAAGGTGTTTAAGAAGAGCTTGAACTAATGAGTGAGGCTTTGTTTTCTGATGGGTTGCTAAATGCTGATAACAGAGCTGATAAATATTCTGTTATCAAAAGCGTCCTGCCAAGACCAGGCCACACCCCCCTCAGCTCAGCACTATGGAATGAATGGAGGGCTGCTCTAGCACTCCCCAGCTTCTAACCTGAGCCACTGCAGGCATGTGCCTGCATTCTTTCAGTCCAGAGGGGATGTCTTTATGGTTACAAACTGATTTAGCCTAGCCACGCTAGACCAACCTGTAAAGATTGAATCAATTCAGGCTCAGGCTTTTTGAATGTCTGTCCCTAGCCCTTGGCAACAAGGGCATACTGCTGACTCATGTCCATCTGATTGTCCGCTGTAACCCCCAGGTCCTTTCCTGCAGAGCTGCTGCTTAGCCAGTCAGTCCCCAGGCTGTAGTGGTTCATGGGATTCTTCCATCCTAAGTGCAGGACTGTGCACTTGTCCTTGTGGAACCTTTGACATGTTGAACCTTCATCATTACCAATATGCTTACAAATAGTAGTTTTCACTTTTTGAAAAAGAAACATATATATTTTGAATAGGTCTTTTGAATAAAGAAATATATATATTAAGAAATATATTTTGAATAAAGAAATATATATATGTATTTCTCTATTTTTGATAAATATGTGTGTATATGTACATATATGTATATGTAAATCCACACATGCGCACATACACACACACACACACACACATTACATGTAAGCATTACAAATTAACTTAATGCTCACTTTAAAAATAGCAGGTGCTCTGCAAATTTTCTCACACAGTTCTGCCAGCTGAATCAGGTCAATGACTCTTGCAACAGCTTTGCTCTCTATCTGGTCCTTAAGCCTGTCTGGAATCATTCAGGACTGATAGTTTAGTGATATGCAAATGTAGTGATTAACACCAGGTGATTAAACTATTATTTTAGCTTTCAGATATGAGGGGCCTAAACAATGCTACCTATTTTCTCTATTTAAATGTCTCAAGTTTTTCACAAAATAACATTAACTGAAAACACTATATTGGTATTAACACTCAGGCTAAGTACAGACATTTGGGAGCATTAGGGGGACATTAAAACAGTTCAAAACAGCTGCCCAATATCAGTTAAATCAGGATGGGGGGGTTCGTGGGGGGTGGGGGGGGGGGGGGGGGCAGACACAACCCATGAGGGGTGAGGTGGGGGAAGGAGCAATCCATGGGTGGAGTGAGGGGAAGACGCAACCCATGGGAGAGATCAGAGGGCTGGGAGATAGATGTGATCTGCAGAGTGTTACTGGCATCTAGGAGGCTCTGGTGTGATCAGGGGTGCTTGCAGGGCCTGTGGGAGAGGCTTAAGGGAACCAGGGATATTTTTAGCCAATTTGATACCTTGTCCATTCTCCTTTCCCTGCTTGACCAGTGCAGCCCAGCTCCATAGAGCCCCTGACAGCCCGGTACCTGTGCTCCTGCCACTCCACTCTGGGCCCTGCCGGCGCTCACCCCGGTACACTGGCATGGGTCCTGTGCTCCCAACCAGCTGTCGCTGCACTCAGTGCGCCTATTCCCCCCACCTGCCACAGTCATTTTGTTGCTCCCCTCCCCCCAACCAGCTGTCCAGCCAGCCAATTCAGCAACATATGGTTCCCAGCTGCAGTGTCAGGCCCACAGGAGCCAGTCTGGCTGACCCTGAGGACTGGGGTGATTGCCCATAGTCCTCCCCTGCCTCCATCCCCACCTCCTTCTTATCTATATTTCCCTCGGCGCAGGGAGGCAGGAACTAGGCAGAGGCTTCCGGCTGGGGCTCAGGGTAGAGGGGGTGGGATGGAGGTGGTGGGCAGGGCCCAGCCAGACTTGCTGCTGTGGCTGCTTAGTTCTGCTGCCAGCTCCCCCATGGTCCTACTGCCCCTGTCTCCTGTCAGCTTTGACTTTAGAGTAAACCCACCCCAGAGGATCTGCATGTGTAGACACGCCCAATAATTATTTCATGGCCCCTACGAAAAACATCTAAGAAGGAATTCCAGGGATGGGGAATAGGTCTCTGGCAGTATAGCTCAAGGTACCAAGGTACCAGATGGTCTAATAAGTCTTGGCTATCTAAACAGTAAATACGTACACGTGGCAAGTGTTCAAGACAAAGACAGATGCCTCAGTTTCTCAAAAGAAAATAAATACTTAAGGCCTATTATTAGTTAATATAAAACTGCTGAGGAAAATGTGTTCATTAAAAAAGTGAGGGGTGCAACTCAAAATAATTTGGCTACTTTTTAAAAAAGGTACGTGGTCTACAGAAATCAGGGTGGAAAAATATTAGATCATGTAACAAGATTAAGGGAAAACTTTCACTCAGTTGTTTCATGCTGCACATACAAAAATTGAAAACCAGAAAATTCATAGAAATTGTTGCTCTTCTAAAATGTTGATATTCTTAAAGGAAATTTTGGCTTCAGTGGGAGATGAGGGAATTTAGTACCTGTCAGAGGATTTTATCCCTTCATAAGGTAAGATTCTGAAACACTAGGCAAAGGATTTGTATCAGCAATAGCATAGAAAGGAGAAACAAAGCTTGCATTAATAGAGGCAGTAATTAGAAATGGAAGAAATTATTAAAGCATTCTTACAAACATCAGTGACACAAGATTGCTGGATATTTTAGAGACCTTGTAATAAAAACATAACTTTTCACATTCACTTTATGGTAGGTCATTCATTCTAATCTACCCTAGATCAGGAACAGAAAATATTTTCCATTTTATCTCTGTTTGGCAGCCAACATAAAATGAATTAATAATCTTGTACTTCATGCACAGCTGACTACCGCACAAGAACCACCATTCCCAACTGGCATTTTTGTTGGCAATCTGTGCAAAGTCTAAGGATTTCATTGGCACCAAATCTGAAATATGCTCTCAACTCAAACGGTGGTCCCTTGAGAACATGTTGAGGTACATATGGTAGAGTGCCACTATCTGTTCTGTTCACAGTCTGCTAATAGAAGGCTTCTGTTTCCAGTATTGTCAGACTGGCACCATTCAGGGTGCTTTTGGGGAACAGTGTGCTAAGTTCTGGTTACATTATTGAAACACAACATTTAACAAATGGAGAAAGTGCAGTAGAGAGTAACCAGAATGCTAGAATGAACATGAAATGAACGCTTATAGTTGTGCTTTAAAAAATAAAATAAATAAATAAATAAAATTATTTGCAGGGATGAAAAGAATACTGTAAAGAAGAAAATTATTAACAAGCTATAAACTAGTACTGAAAATCATGCAAAATTTAAAAAAATGTGATTACTTATGAGATATGATTTATTGCATTATATTAAATAAGTTCTCACCTTAGCATTTTCAATGCAAGGACAAATAGCCCAGGCTGCACTTGCTTGAACATCTGGATGAGGATTTTTCAACAAGGACCATAACAAACGGACTCCATCTAAACGGTCAATTATCCTATTACAGAAACAAACATAAAAATCATAATTAATTATGAAGTAGACCATGCAATTTTATATTGTATAACTGTATGGAAGGCCATGTCAAGAAATACTGGTACAAACTCATTTAATATACAGTGTTGTTTTACTTAAGTGCTACTGACTTAGTGTATTCAACATTTTAAGTAAATATCACTCACTATCACTACATGGTTATACACAAATTGTTTAGAATGAAATCTGTTTCTAACTAAAGCTTATGAGTTCAGGTTACCGTCTTCTCAGCACTTTGACTTGAAATGTTTTACTTAAGAAACATAAAGCAAATGGCATTACATCCAGGATTCATGTAAACTTAAAAACAAGCCATGTGACTTTTTAATGAGCTTCATGCAAAGTGAAACCCAAATTCAAACATACTGGTTTCTTTCATATAGTAACAAATACTTTCCAAAACAAATATTTATGCCAAAAACTATGTACTTAACTTTTATTCAGTCTATGTTTAATGTATTTACCTTACTGTATGACATATTTTAAACTCCTATGTTTCCAATCTAGCATTAGGAATTAAAATGGTCACACCACAGTGCATCCTTTGTTGGGCACGAATAACGTGTAACTTGTTTTCCATGTGTTCCCCACCAACAAGACTAACATTGAATACTGTGTTATAATTACTTAAACATACTGTAATCAAAGTATCTTCATGACTAGCTGAAAAATGAATTATCATCAGAGTCATCTCTACACCATCTGTCTTATGTTTATATATCAATCAGCCTATGGGATCATAACTTCACATTAGGGTCCACTGAGTACTTTAAATGGAGAGGAAGGCCAAACAAAACTTAATATCCTTTACAAACATGGCTTTGTTCAGAAAGATATGTTAAACTCAAAGCAGATGAGATGAAGATAAAGAAAATCAGGCAAACTTTGATTTCTAACCTCAAAAGTAAGAGTTTAATTATATGCAGTTCACATCTTTAATTGTGAATACAATATTACAGAAATAAAATAAAGTATAGGCTTACTCTTGTAAAATCAAATAACAACATATAATTTGTGTTTATTACATAAAATGTACCAGGATATTTTTTAAACTAAGTATGAAATCCGTTCTGTATATAATCATATGATTATCTGAAGCAGAAAAAAATTTTTAAGGACATAAACTCTGCCTAAAGAAATGAAGGGCCTTACAAGAAATCGATGCAACCTAGTCATATAATTTGTTTTCAAAATCCCACCTTTTCCATAGAACAGAAGACAACCAAGCACATTAAATAAGTTGTTTTTTAAAGACCTGCTGAGTATAAGGTAGTCTGAAGTGAACACTCAGTGTCAAATATGTCAGCTGCCAAAAGTTATCAGTCAACAGAGAAAAAAAGAAAGAAAGAAGTCAGAGTTCACATCAGGAGCAGCACAATAAGTCATAACAGAACAATAATACACCATGCGGCTAAATATACACATCTAAATTACTGGTCCAGATAGTAACAAAGACTATAAAGGCCATTTGTAAAATCTAAAAAAATATCTTTTTAATATTATTTTCCTGTAATTTCCAAAAAGACCATGAGAAAATTTCCTGCTACAAGAATGAATAAAGGGCCTGTGAATCTTTCTCTCTCTCATCTTAATCACCCAGAACAGTTGTTATTGAGCAACGCCACCCCTGAGTGGCTAAATATGAAGGATCTAATCCTTACTACCCGTACAATCATGAGACAGGGTATGCACTGAACTAATTTCCTGCACTACAGAGAACAATCTTGAGGCTGATTCAGCTTTTTGGATGACCCCCCTGGGAAGTACTGCCCCAACATAAACCCAAACAAGGGTTCCTAAACATATATAAAGCAAGCAAAAAAAAATATTATCTTAATTTAATTGAGTACATTGGGGTACAGAGCTATGAAGTGATTTGCCCAATCTCACTGTTGCGGAGCCCATGCGTCACAGAGTTAAAAAGAGATACCAACTGAGGAGGCCAAGGGCTAAGTCCAATTTCATCTTTATGCGTCTAAGTGGCACTTAAATAGCTGGGTAATGGCAATTTTTGGTACTTACATACAGTTCGTATTATATGTAGCTACTATTACTCCTAGCTTCTTTTTGACCGTGCTCAGAAATCTGGGCAACCACCTAAGCAAACTAGATTTGCCTGGGCATGCACATAACTTTGGTTCAAGAAAAACTACAACTACCAAGCGTTTGACACTGAAGAAGGGGGCCAGGTTGTCCTTCCTCCTTTTAGCTCATTTCCCTAGCGCAGTGGTTCTCAACATTATTAGTCTCAAGGCACTCCTCCAACCAGCACCCCAGTTGAAAATCACTGTCGTAGTGGCTAGAACACTTGCCCAAAGAGCAGGAAATATGGGTGCTAGGCTCCACTCACCCAGATGATATTTGAATGTGTTTCCTAGCAAAGTGCTACAATCACTGTTCTGGGCACACCCTCATCTACTCACTAGCTAAAATGCAGAAGCAACTACATACCACCACAAGTTTTACTTCTGGCAGGTATGCATATAGGGCACATGCATGCAGATAGGTATGCATATAGGACAATCCTGTTCTGTTGCAAGTGGAAATACAATCCAAACTCTGCATACAAGTGCAGTTACATAATGCTACTTAAATGCATGAAAGTGAAATAGAATTTAGCTGGGAGCAGTTTTGACCTGCTAGAGATGTGAGGCATGTCAAGCTTGGAGAATGACTTTAGAAGAGGGGTGCCAGCAGCTCAGCAGGGAGCAGCCTTGAGGGGAGACAAATTTTTGGTCCTCAGCTCCCTGATGGACTCCCCATTTAAGGCAGAGCTTGCTCTTATGCCATAAACTTTTTGAGTTCCCTATGAAAAAAGCAGGCCAGAGTACTAACTATTGTTTTAAGGCATGTTCTGATGATTGCTTTCCTTTTCACACTTTTCCACTCCTTGTATCTGTTTTCTCAGAACCCTGGAAGGGGTGAAACTGCTGAGGAATTCTGCTGGAGGTCTGAGCTTCCACTCTATCTGTTGAGCATAACTGTTCTGACATGGACAACATAAATTGAAGTACTGGCACATCTAAAGGGGAGGCTATAGAGAGTCAAGGCTTGTAACAATCACTAACAACGTTTGTAGAAAAGCCAAGACCAGGTCTTCTGAATGTCAGTCTGACGGTTTAAGTACAAAATCATCCCTCCTCCTTGAAGCACCTGCTACTTCTCAATGCCAGCATGGCTTTTCTGGAACCAGGATTTCATGCCTGTAAGTAAAGTTGAGGCCCTGTTTCCAGTGAGAAAGGTTTTTTTTCCATCTTGTTCTGCTGTCTCCATCTCTCTCATTTTTATTTTCTCTTTTTTTATACTATATACCAATTTTATTTATGGTATCTCACAACCTCACCTACTCTTCCTTGCCCCCTCGATGTTGCATTGCAATCTCCAACTTCTATGATATTATTTTCCTTTCCTAGCCTCTCAGGCTCCAGTCACCTTGACTTGTTCTCTTCTATCAACAATTTTTCTCCTTGTATTCAGTGTAGATTGCGCTATGCCTTTCAGCTATAGAGGCATTCCACAGATAGGTGGAATGCTGCAAGTATATCTGCATACTCTGAGAGGAGTTTGGCATACTACATACCATTTTAAAATAATGCATAACTTGTATAACATTCAAAAAATGGAACAAATTATATTTATTGTATTTCCTGATCAAGGACATGTTTGCTATTTTGGCTGTGTCTACTGTTCTGTGTACAAATGGCTTATTTTTGTGCGGCTGCTTAAACAAATATAAGGCCAACTCCTGTTCACAAATAAAACTTCCATTGAAGTCACTGTTAAAATTGTGTAACTGAGGATAGAGTCCACCCCACAGTTACCAAAAGGATCTGGCATGGAATAACCAAAACAAGAACCAGATGCAACAAAGCCTGAGAACTGTTGAGTCATGGCAACAGAAATGCTTAGCACACATGGGCGAATTTAGGATTTTGAAATGTGGGGTGCAGATGGGGTGGTGCATCATCATCACATTTTTCTCCAGTTTAAAAGAACCTAGAAGCTTTACTAATTTGCTACAGGCTTAGGGCTATATTATACAGTTTAAGATCTAAGTAAAAGTAAATATAACTTTATGGAATGTACATTAATTTGCTATAATATATATAAAAAAACATAAGGCAAAAAAATAACCAAAGGATATTCTGTCATTAGTACTGCAGGCATTAGAATTAAATGTACAACTCTTTTTCAGAGCCATAAAATAAAATCTACCCTTTGTGAGTGTCTTGGCAATGCATCCAATGCTTTACTCAAAGTTATTTCCACACCTGAGCTAATGTTTCCACACCTGAGGTATTGTTTTTAGCTGAAGTCAAAAACAGTTTGCAGGGCTGTGAAATAGGAGCTACACTACTGGGAGCATCTAACAGATGGCAGATTTGCAGAAGAAAGAATAGCTTGGGTAGTGAAACATAAAGGCCATTACAAAGAAGGCAGGGTCATTAACACCCGCGGAATGGAGAGTCTAGAAAAAACATGATTCTAATATAATAAATGGGTTAGTTTGTCTGCCTGTGTCTGTCTGTCTGTCTGTAATGCTTTTGGCCAACTGAGCATGTGCCACTGAGAGGGTGGGTGGTGACTGGCTGTGGGACCCAAGTTTGAGCCACTGCTGGGGAAGTTTGTGGTGGCGGCGAACACACTCCGGCCACCTGAGCAGGGGGGCTTTCCCATACCTCCCTGCCTGAGGGTGAAGGGGGGAGGGTCACGGTGGTGGCACCTCCCTCCCCACCCTTCCCTGCTGCCATCCAGAACAGCCACCAGTGAGGGGGATGCAGGGAGGGAGGGGAGCAGGGCAGGGGGAGACAAAGCAGGGGGGTCATGGCGGCGGCTGTTGTTGGCACCAGGCAGTGGGAAAGGAGGGAGGGAAGGAAGGGAGCAAGAAGGGGGCCCCAACAACAGCTGGCAGGGAAGGGGAGGCAGCAGGGAGGGAGGTTGTGTGGGTCCAGGTGGACATGG